GGAAAAAGAAAAGTGGGGCCTCTGGGGAGACGATGAAGGGTGTTGAAGAGAGGAGGGGGGGGGGGCAAAAGGTCCATCATCCCCTCCCTTTCCCCCGTCTCTGCTTCTCCGGACTCGCCAATGGCTACAGAGCTTAGTAATACTCCGGAAAAACCGCATAAAACGCTCGAGCTGGGGCGCATTGGCGAATTTCTCTAGCGTCGCTCTGTCGGTCGAGGATTCGAATCCGCCATTGAGAGAATTAGTCCTTTTCTACAGCACATTTATTCGTTTTGAAGGTGAACTGATAATAGGAATTGCCAAAGATTCTATGTAAAAACCCTAAATCAGTGCAAGCGAGTACAGTATTAAACAGAATTCGTTGCGGTCTGCCAGCATCTGTTTGGTGCGCGACGCTGTTTATGGCATCCTCCGGTTTTTAGACTTGAGATACCACAACTGTTGCAACGAAGGAAAGGCACCATAACTGTTGCAGTGAAGGGAGTTGCTAAAAAACACATTTTTTTTGGTCGGAACGCTTAAAAGTAACAGTATATTGTGAAAAACACTGAGTGAAATCAGTTTTTATGCGTTTTTTGCAGCTGTGCGATGCAGAAAACGCATATTGACGAGGGGTTGTCTGTGCGTCTGTACCGATTTTTCGTCTCAAGACCTATAAAAGCTGCAGGGCTGAAACTTTGGGAATTTAATCTGCATGCACGTACGGGCTCCAACCCCCAAAATGGGCGCCCTTACCCGCGTGTTACCCACGTACGAGCCTGCCAAAGTTTTTTACGGGTAAGCTGCTAACTCGGGAACCTGGAAGGGTGAAATGCTGGAAAGCTGAAGTTTTAAGGGGACGTTCCCCGTCCACGTAAGTCTAAATGAGCTCAAACCCAGCCCCCGAGTATGTGTGATACCCACATACGGTCTCGCCAGAATTTTTTCTTGTAAGTTGCTAACTCGAGAATTAGAAAAAGCCAGTCTGAAATTCTTTTAGCTAGAAGCATCTGCCGGAAAAAACAGTGCCGTTAGCGACAAAAATCTTCGGGGAGCTATACAAAAAACGCATCTTCGCACGGGCAGCCCGTGCGTTGGTCAATTATTATATTTGCAGGGCCAAGCTCCGGCGGCTCCACTCACATGCAATACAAAAGACACTGGCGCCAACCAGCGATTGTGTGTTTTTCTATTGTAAATTGCTTTTTTGAATTCAGTTTTGCGTTTACTTGCTCAGCCGTTAATCTCTTGTCATATCACTCCCTCCCCTCCCTCCCCCTCTTCCTCCTCTGCCTCCCTTTCACGTTCCATGACTGGTACCGTTAATACTACATCATCTGGCGGTGACTTTGTTGGTATGCTTTACTGGTGGATCTGTTCTAATCCTCCGACTTTCGGAATGTAGGGTTTTCCCTATGTTGTTGGGGTGCTTTTTCAGATCGGGACTTCTAGCGGTTCCTTCGTTGACGGACCGGGAGGTGGGGGGAGGGAGGGGGGGGAAGGGGAGGGCGATAGGTATTTCGGCACAGGTAGCAGTGTTAAAACTGAAGAACAGATAGCAATGTTAAAATTGAAGAAAGCTGTCTTCGCCACCCCTGTCCTCTATTTAGGAGCCCCGCTTTCTTCCCTTCCCTCTTCCCCCTCCCCCCACTTCACCCCTTCCCTTCCTTCCTCCTCCCTCGCGGCCTACGCCAGTAGGACTAACGAGCGAGAGAGGGGCGGGGGAAGGTTAGTGGAGCTTTCGCTGTAGGGAAGACGGGGAGGCGAAAGTCGTCCAAATCCCCTCTCCCTAGGGAACTATCCTAGATCCGCCTATGGGTTCCGTCGATTTCGTTGTGTGTTTTCGTATGTAGGTGTGTACAAGAGCCAAACGGTGTTATATTTCAGAAGCAGTGGGACCTGAAATGACAGTTTAGAAAGTCCCTCAGGCACGAGTGTTAACTTTAAACATTGCAGGATCCCAGTCCACCGTGGCATGACCGTTTGAAACGAGTTCGTGGCCGATTCAATGTGGAAACGCGAAAGCTGGAAAAACAGTTAAGTGAGCTCACCGATGAAGATGACTGGCTAAAAGATCTTTTAAAGGACGAAGTAAGCTTTTCTTTATTACGAGATCATAGTAACCACTTATCGAAATGAGTTTCACTTTGATATTTGGGTCAAGTGCAGCTCAGAAGTTCCGTTTTGCAGTTATAAATCTGATTTCTTCAATCACTCTTACCAGTACCATATTGCCCAGTGCTTAGCTGATTGCCGTCCCCAATGGTTTGTTTCATCTCTTGAAGGGATTATCGAAACATTTCTTACTATTATAATAATTTTATCAAAATAATTTTACTGCTTTTAGTAATTTCTTAATATTATTTTCTCTTCTATTCTTCTTCCGACTTCAAAATACCTTTCCATTACGAATTTAGCCCCGACAGAAAACACATGATAAAGCTTTAGCCATTTTCCCGATGTCCTTGACGTTTATAGAGCATCAGTAGCATCCCTGGAGTTTGTCGCTCCTGGACCACAGTGAGGAGCTCCTAAGCTTTATCGACCAAGAGACAGTAACTGATAATGTGATAAATGCGCCAGGTTTTTTAGCTTGAAAAACGGAAACGCAGGCAAGAAATATTTGAGGAAGTTGCTGCCGGCCACTGGCAAATGTGGAAAATTTTGCCAAGTGG